GTTTTGCAGAGAGGACAAAGCAGGAATTATCACTTCTATTCCTTATTTTTAAATAAAATCCTGGTTTATTATAATTCAAATTACACAAGCACGTTAAAGAGATTTTAGTTGGATTTATTTTTTTTTTTAATGACTGCACCATTTTAAACCACCGCAACAGAATATAAAGCAACAATTCTCTTGCATCATGCCCCTGCTGCTCCTCTTCAGGAAAGAAAGGCACAATGTTTCAAGGACAATAATTAATTGCAGTATCAAATCAAGACTTTCTGCTTTTAGTAAGCCGAGTAAATTTTGCACGTAGTGTTAACTACTTTAGCTCATCCACAGATTTGATGTGAAAAAATCTAAACTCTTTGTAATTTAACCATGATGCTTACGTTGCCACACTGCAATTCACAGTTCTTTAGCAAGGTCAAGAATAGCTATAGCTTTTAAGGTGAAAGCCTGAAGTATTGCACTATCAGTTAGTGAAACGAAGATGCTGAGATATATTTACCTTTCAAAAAGCTAGATTTGTGAAAGCCTGAAGTATTGCACTATCAGTGAAACAAAGATGCTGAGATATATTTACCTTCCAAAAAGCTAGATTTATTCATGTTATTTAACCTAAACTCTAAGCACACCAAATAGATTATAGATGAAAAGTAGTTCCAGTGAGGAAAACAAAGAACATCAGTTTTCAAACATTTTCAATTCAGAAATGTGCTAGCTGCCATTTCAGTGGCAAAAGAGACCCTCTCCTGTAAGCAATAAGGGGGTTTTATTCAGCTAAAATGTGCAAAGGAAAAAGTCTCAAAGTGAGAGAAATATCACCAGTTCATATTGGACACAAGGGAATAAAATCCTTAAGAATTAATTCCTTTAATCCGTTTTCTTGTCAGTAACCTCTGCGGATCTCTTTGCGGCGATTCCATTTGCAACCCCATTGCTTTCAAACTGCAAATAAAAGACAGTGTCGTTAATGGCATGTGGAAAAAAAAAAAAAATGACTCCACACCCAGAAGAGTAAGAGCTGACGATGGAAATGGCTTTTAGAAGCAAGGCCAGTAAAGATCTACGAAAAAAATCTGCAGCAAGAACCAAAGGGGTGGTGTCTCTTTTAGAGTTACACATAATTATTGCTTGGCAGGGAGGAAATAAGGGCAGAGACAACATATACAAATCTTTGCATTTTGTTAGAAGAGACAAATAATAACGTTTTCCCCCATTATTAGTGGCAGAGCTAGCTGAAGAGTGGTGGTTTTTTTTAATTCTGGTTCATGCATCCGGTGTGATGTACCAATTATTTGATTTTTTCCTTCTCTGAAAGACTAGCCAGTCATTAAAAAAAAAAATAAAATAAAATTAACTAAGCTGTTTCAGAAAACAGGTGCAATTCCTATCCTTCCAAGACCTACCAGAAGCTGTCTTGAAACAACTATTTCTAGCTGGCTCAGTACCGGTAACTCCCTTTCATAAGAAAATAGCCACAAAAACATCTGTAAAAACACCCAACTATTTACTCTTTTGTCGTGCCCACCCCGAACTATTCCTGAGTGCTTTATCCAAGTTTCCCTCGTTAGCTAAATGCATTAATCTTACTTTATAAATTCCAGACTCATCCTCCTGATCTCTTTTCGTGGCTGAAGGTGCCCGTGGATTTCCAGCGCTGCCTCCTTGACCTTGTTTCGTGGCCGTTGTTTCTTCCACAGCTTTCTTGGGCCAGACGCGCTTAATGAAAGGTGCAATAACAGGATAAATATAGGGTTCGAGGAACTTCTTGTAGACCCAGAGGAGAACCGGAATGACAATACAAGGAATGCACACCATGGCTTCCTCTTGTTCTGTGACAAAGCTGGCGAGGGGAAAAAGAAACCCAACAATTTAAGATGACAGTGTTTGTATGCCGTGAGCTAAGAAAACCATCTTAAATAATGAATAAGGATTGTAGTTGATATTCAGACATAAAAGATTCTTTAATAGTAGATTAACTGTTAAAGTTTCAAAAACGCTGTATGTTCCAATGTTATAAAATCCTCATCACCAATGAGGGAAACATTCTTGATATTCTAACAAAAAAGGAGTAGAGTTTGCATTAATTCGTCATTCCTACAGCCGAACTTAGAAAAACAAATTTGGAAAATAAAAGTTTTTGCTTAAACCACACAAAACCAGTTTCAGCAGTGAGCTGCAGATATCAGCCCAGTTCTTAATCTATTACAACAGAGGATCCAAGAGGTTTGGTTTTCTCATTCAATTTTAAATTAAAGTTAAATTAAACGGCAGGACTCCGATCCATCTAGTGGCTTGCTACCACCGAAGGACAGGTCGGTGGGAGGAGGGGAAGAAAATCCTAGTCAGGATTTGAGAAAAGGAGAATATGGGTTACTTCATTCCCGCGGCATGGGAGGAATCGCTTCATCCCACACCAATCATAGAATCATCCAGGTTGGAATGGACTTTTAAGGTCACCGAGTCCAACCATCAGCCTAACATTGCCAAACCCACCACTAACCCATGTCCCTCAGCACCACATCTGCCTGTCTTTTAAACACCTCCAGGGATGGCTACTCCACCACTGCCCTGGGCAGCCTGCTCCAGTGCTTGACAACCCTTCTGGTGAAGAAATTGTTCCTAATATCCATCCTAAACCTCCCCTGGTGCAACTCAAGGCCGTTTCCTCTCATCCTGTCACCTGTTACTCAGGAGAAGAGACCGCCCCCCACCTCTCTACAACCTCCAGTACAACTGGCCAAACTATTAGAAAATAAATCCTTTCCTCTCTCCCAAAAGCAGGAAGAAGTCTTCAAAACCAGCAGCCTGTGATGAAAACAGCAGAAAGCCAAAGCGCAGGGGCAGAAAGGTACAACTGGGAGAGGAAGCAGTTAATTAGGATCAGAGCTGGCGCTTTCAGTGCTGACAATCGATATATTAGCCACACTCAGCTGCACAGCGATGCTTTGCCCTTCACCCTCCTCCTTTCCAGGCTGCTGCCATCTAAATTCTCACACGAAGCAATGAAACAAAAGCTTTCCAGGATGGAGAACAAAGAGGCAGATGCGCACGCTTCAGAGTTTCACTTATTTTTTTTAAGCTATCCTAAAGATTGTTTTAGCCCCAGGCCCACAACACAATACCAATTTCCCAGTTGACTGACTTCGCCTACTTCAAACGTCGTTTTCCAAGATCTGAAGCCAGACAGGCAGCTTAAACTGAGACAACAGGAACGAGGTGATCCATCAAAGCCGTTCCAAAAGCCAAGAATCTGCCAAAATTGAATTTTCAAGACGCCCTTGTGGATTCGTCCCTTCAGCTGAGGGAGGGGACACCCCGGCCTGGCTGAGGGGACAGGGACAGCCACTGTCAAGGTTCCAGACCCCAAAACCAGGTCGTACCTCTGCCAAAGGCAAAAGCAAGTCATTGGGAGCGTAACACCGGCCCTAAAACATTTAAATATCCTCCACGCGTTTCATCTGCGATGCTCTGTCGGCTGATGAGCAGATAATTAATTTGGAGGAGGAAAAAAAAATAAAAAACGTCACAAAACCCCCACAAACAAAATAAAGCAAAAAGGCAAATGGTCCGGTTTTAACAGCAAGCGTATCTCTTTGTGGCACAAGCTTTTGTTTCACCAAAAAAAAACAACCAAAAATTGTGTTTGGTTTTATTTTGTAGGGTGGCGTTCAGGCTGTTCGCTCCCCAGACGCCCGGCCAGCCTGCCCGGTGACTGGCGGCATTCCCCCTTCCCCTC